AAATACATTATTAAAAAGGCATTTAAAAACAGGCATAATAAGCAAAGGTAATGAAATAAATTAAATAAATAAACACAGCAGGTACAGAATACATGACTAAAAAGGCATACTGTAGTGTGAGTATGGGCAGCTCAATTAAAAGCAGCGGCAAATAGGTGCGATTTCAGTCGGGATTTAAAAATAGGAAGTGTTTCAGCGGACGTGCACGATTTAGGCAGTTTGTTCCAAATTGTTGGGGCATAATTACTAAAAGCTGCTTTTCCATGTTTAGTGTTTGTTCTCGGAACAGAGAGCAGACCCGACCTAGAAGACCTGAGACTCCTGGATGCTTCATAGTGATGGAGTAGGTCGTCTATATACCTCGGTCCTAAGCCATTTAGTGATTTAAAAACTAGCAGTAGTATTTTAAAATCAATTATTTGGCAGACTGGAAGCCAGTGTAATGATCTCAGAACCGGAGTGATGTGATCCACTTTCTAGTGTCAGTGAGGACTCGAGCAGCAGCGTTCTGAATCAGCCGCAGCTTTCTGATAGATGTTTTAGTGAGCCCTGTGAATACACTATTGCAGTAGTCGAATCTACTGAAAATATAAGCAGCTTTTCTAAATCCTGTGACATTAGTTTTTTAATCCTTGATATGTTCTTCAGGTGGCAGTATGCAGACCTAGTAACTGTTGTAATGTGACTGTTAAAATTCAGGTCTGAGTCCATCACTACACCCAGATTTCTTGCTTTGTGAGTTACTTTGTAGTCTGCTGACTGAAGCTCTGTGATTACTTTTAATCGGTCCTTCTTTGCTCCAAAAACAATGATCTCAGTTTTTTGTTTGTTTAATTGGAAAGTTCTGAGTCATCCAGTCAGTGATTTGCTCAATGCACTTGCTCATTGTTCTAATTGGAGAGTAGTCTCCCGGTGTGATTTTAAAATAAATCTGGGTGTCGTCTGCATAGATGTGATAGCTTAGATCGCTCTTTTTTAATAATTTCAGCCAGAGGTAGCATATAAATATTAAAAAGCAAAGGTCCTAAGATGGAGCCTTGAGGANTTTCTATTAATCGAAATAAGACCTCTGTTGTTTAACATCAGCTGTGTTTCGAAAGCAGTAACTGCAATTCTCCCTGCGGGGGTTTGGAGCAGAATTGGCTCAGCGTGTGCTTGTGTGTGTGCGGTGTTGAAATGGGGGGGGGATAAGACGGGGAGATGAGGGGGAGGGGGTCATGGTGCTGACGCTGTTGGTGGGTCGAACTGTCTGGTTCCCATTACTTCAAATCCAAAATGGCTGATTTGGCCTCCTCTGTCCTACTGAGGAGAGAGAACCAACTCCGACCAAAAGTTTGAGCATGAAAGTCACACGATGGAAAAGAGAGGCTTGCTCTATCTCACCCAAAAAAAATATGTCTCTATAAGTGATGATGTCACTCGAGATGACGTTGCTCATGATGCTGTTACGGCGGTTGCTATAGAGACTGTTTTTGTAATGGTGTGCAGCGGTTTACTGGACAAGAAATTCAAGTTTACATTGTAAAATGAGTAAATTAGTTTCTGTTCGTGTGTGTATCGTTGGGTGTGTCCTGGCAGTTGTGGAAGAAGTACTCAGATCTTTTAATTAAGTAAAGTAGAAATACCATCATCCAACAATGGTCTCTTACAGATATATGTGTTAAATGTTACTTTAGTAAAAGTACAGAAGTATTGTCATGAACATGCACTTAAGTATCAAAATTAAAAGTTCTTATGAAGCAGGATTGCCCCTTTAAAAAGGTTGTTAATTCTGTTTTTATCACTTAAGAAAAGTATGTATGCCAAAAGTGTACTTAAGTGCAAGTTTAGAATCAAATTTAGTTACACCCCTTCACTGCTGAGTGGCAGAAGAACAAACTAGAAAACCCTGATATCTTGAAGTGACTTAACAACAAAAAAAAGATTAGCATGCTAAATAGAAACTGTGCTTCTGTAAAGGGGAACACATGTTTGTGTTAACGTTTAACGTTTCAGTGTTATGGTTATGAGTTGCTATGTGTGAGTTACTCACCAGCTGCTGAATGACCCTCTCTACAAGGGTGGAGAACCCGATGTCCTCATTCTCTCTGTTGTCGTAAACATATTTGATCAATTTCGGGATCACCTCTGTGTCCGTCTCCGACTCAAACTCATATCCTTTGTTGATCTGAGGAAAGTACAGATTTTTTTAATTTACACAAAAACATAAATATACAGTCAGTCAAATTCCATCTAAATCTTTCCTTGTTGTCACTTGATATGGTGTAGGCCTGGATATAGAGGAAACTATCAAACATCAATAATAGCTTAGAGTTTTAATGAGGAGATCCATACCTTTTACATTCTGATGGAAAACTGATATTTTGTTCAAACTACAAAAACGTTGACTTAGCATCATAGTCACACGTGTGTTGGTGTCTGTTAGGATTGTTGTCTGCAAACTAGCTACTTCAATTCATGGACATTTTCTCAATTGACCAGTTGAGAGCATTTCCAAGAACTTTCATCAATACTTGATTTGCTAAATTAATTATATCTCATTCGTAATGTCAGCAACAAAGCTATTCTATTTTAAGAAGATTTGTTCAGCTATTAGTAACTCAATTGTTTCTGCCCATCAACAAAAGTATTGCTAGGCAACATCATTTTGTTTATTCAACCAGGTTTGACCTTTATAATGCGTTAACAAGTCAATACTTAATGAATTATTAATAATGAATACAGTTGTCTCAGCTGACATCTGGGGTTATTTAAAAGAAAAGAAAACAAGGATGTTTTATAGATCAGCTGAATAAAAAATTGTTGATAATATACAGCCACACATACTTGTCTAACCTGTACACAGAACAACATGCCAAACATTGTCACATGGTATAATCTTTTTAAAACTTGAATGACACTGCATTGTATTGAAGCTTATTTTGACAAAAGAAATTCCTGATGATTAAATAACTTACCAGGTAGGCCTTCAGCTCTTTGTAGTTGGTGATGATGCCGTTGTGGATGACGACAAACTCTAAGAAAAGTGAGTCAGAGCAAAAAGTTCAGCAAAAGGTGTGATAGGGCAAAGACTGGTAAAGTGACAGTTAGACAACTTCGGATGATAAGTTATCATAAATGACATGTAAACAAAAGTTGATCAATGACAAATACAATGTGTCTGTTAACCCCACTGATATGCAAACACAAGTTAATAGTGTTTCTCCTTTATTTTAATATATTCACTGACTCTTTGGACTTAAGAACACATACCATGATCCAAAGTCAAGATACATTATTGACAAAACTATGATAAAAAGATGGGTGTAGCCATCATTAAAACATAAAATGTTTGTTTAATTAACGTTTCTAGCATCTTGGCCTTTAGTTTGAATGATCAGTCAAGATGTATAGGCTATTATTACTGGAGGCCAATCAAGTGATTCAAAATGTGATCTGTATGTGAGCATGCATCAAAGTACATTATATCATATTACCGTTTTCCTTGTCAGAGCGATGAGGGTGGCTGTTAACCTCGCTCGGCTCTCCGTGTGTGGCCCAGCGAGTGTGAGCGATGCCAAAGTGTGTGAACAGCTTCTCATCCAGGTCAAGTAAGTCTTTCTCTGAACAAACAAAACACAAAACATCCCTTCACTGACATGAACACACTGCAGTGCCCTTCAATGACAGAAAAATGTAAAGCAAGATATTCAAAGTAGGGGGAACGGAGTATTTCAAAACCCTTTTTAAATGGTACGCAGATAATATTATGGATATATCAAATTGGAAATACTGAGCAAACACATTTCATGACAGATCTGAATCAAAGGTGAATGAACCCACTGCAAAGCTCTTCATCCAGGGCCTTCACCTTCCCCGTCTTCTTGATCAAGCAGATGGTGTTTTGGTTGTGTTCATTGCCTGTCTTCTTTGGGCCATCCACAGCAATACCTGCAAACAGACAGGAGGGGGGTTTAATTGATTCATAGAGCGGTAAGAAAAGCACTTAGCATTAAGATTCAAAGTGTACTCAAGTGTGATTTCGGGTGAAAGGTAATGCTTTTATAGAAAGGGGATAGATAGGTTATGAATAGTGAGACAGGATTTAACATGGTAGTAAGTAATATTACTTATTGTGCTTTAAATTGGGGTTTTATATTGTTGTATATTGTTTTTGAATCGTGTATGACAGTTTTTCAGTCTGGGGCTATAAGTATGGTTTTATTGTCCCTATCGGTTTTGTCTAAATGTATTTATGCAGCTTTTTATATATTTATTGATATACATTCCTTTGGTCAACTCTGTTGTTTTTAAATGTGCTATATCAATAAAGTTGGATTGGATTGTGAGCATGTGTCTGTGTGCGTGCTGCCATAATATTAAGTTGAACCTAATATTATCTAATAATATTGCTTTCAACTAACCTCATACAGTTATGTGAAATCTGTTGACATATCTAAATAAAGTCAACGGTTCAGTTTTTTCAGTGTGTGATGACGTGGTTCTAACAGCCATGAAAGGAGCTTTAGTTAAGTGGCATCCTCTTAAACAAATAAGATGAACAAACACAAGGTGTGGGTGTGTTTGAACACAATCAAATGTTCGGGTGGCAGGAGGCTCGGGGTGTTTCTCAAGGTCGAGGAGGCTTGCTTGGTAGCACAAACAATGATTCTGCGCCACTCAATTACGTAGTATGCTTAAAATAGTGGCTCTGGAGCAGCTTTACTCGACATTGAGAAACGGCCTCTGAGTTAGATGTTACTGAAGATTTTTAAGGAGTAGTGGTAGCTAAAATATTTTATACCAAAAGTTTCTAAGACACTTCACCTATTGTACGTGTTTTGCTACCTTTCTTTCAAGATCATTAGGATTGTGTATTTGCATGAAATGTAGAAATATGTGAAGTAGAATCTGATTTAAATAATCAATGTGTGCTTCTTTCCTCTCAGTGTTCATCAAGTATATGAGACTATATTTTTTTACTGCTATAGTAACGTAAATAGTGTTTATTCCAAATCATTACAGGCAGATTGTGCTTGTGAATTAGCAAAGATTTCATTTTTTTAAGACATGACACCAAGGAGTACTATAAGCTTTTGTGGATGCGGGTGTGTGTGTGTGTGTGTGTGTGTGTGTGTGTGTGTGTGTGTGTGTGTGTGTGTGTGTGTGTGTGGCAACACGGCTCAGCCGAGTGTCTTACCTGCTGAATCGTACCCTCTGTATTCCAGTCTCTGCAGTCCCTTCACCAGCGTCTCAAATATCTCCTTTCTGGTGCGAGGCACTTGGTAATTCAGGTAGGCAAAGATCCCTTTGAGAGAGGGAGAAAGAGAGACAGAACTTAAACCCTCTGAAGCCATGTAGGCAGAGTTTACAGGGCTGCAAAAAAAGGACTTCTTTTGAGTTCACTATAAAGAAATGTAGGTTAAATTCACAATGAATTTCTGAACAAAAAGCTGCAATAAGTTGTGAGATGACACCAATATCCACTTAAAAAAAAGGGAAGATGATTTAGGAAAAACACTGCTGATCAAGGATTCCAGCTGTGTTACTTTGCATAAATGGCATCTCATTATATTGAATTACATGAGTTAGTCAAGCTGATGCATCATTGTATTCAATTAAACAACTGTGTGTGTGTGTGTGTGTGTGTCAGGGAATGTTCCGGGCAGCTCTGCTCCCTAAGCACACAGCTGGCCATTGACGGGCGCACATTGCGCGCAGTGTTGGAGCAGCCAGGTAGGCAGGCTGCTGTTCACTCCCTCAGCCTTGGCCTCTTCCTTGCAGATCAGGAGAGGGCGACGTGCTGTTAAAGATTTACTTTGGGCTGTAAACTGCTGGAAAGTATATCCAAGTGTACAATACCGCTGATGGTTCGACTTAATGTTATGGAGGTTGGGTGTAAACCGCTTTTCAGTAGCGCCACATCATAGCCTCATACCTCACTTCTGTGCGTTTGACAGTAACTGGAATGACCTGCTTGTCAAAAATACTGACACGTCGCAGCTGCATTCTGAAAAACCCACACGTGAATAAACAGCTAATAAAACACTTATCCCGCTATTTCAGCTCAGAAATTGTTTAAAAAGATTATGATAAACACAAGAGAACAGTTGTATGATATGATAACGTTGGGAATGCCTCGCTTTTAACGCATTGCATCGGTCTAACTTGGCAGAGCAGGAGACTGTCAGGAAATGTTGGTGTGTAAATAATTCACTTCCAACAAGTTTTCTATAAAGTTGATTAAAAAAAGGACACTTACCACACATGACTCAAACTTTGGTTTCGTTGCTGGACACCTTTATGTGAGAAAAGGACTTGTAGTTTCCCGATGTAATGATGCTTCTGCCTCTGCCGTGTTAAATCCAGAGTTAGTGCACTCCCGACTCAGTTCATTTAAATAGTGTTTGCGGCCACGCCTCCTTTGACAACTCCCTCTTCTGTCAGGGCCGTGGCTGCAGGTATTCACAAACCTCACCTGTCACATACTATAGGGGCCTATTAACTATTGACGATACACCTGTTTACGTCAACTGTATTCAAATGCACTTTCAATGGGGTGCATCCCATTTTACATCCCTTTGCCACAGCTTTTTTTAAATAATGAGTTTGATTGCCAATCAATACTTTTTGTAAACGTTTGATAAAGGTTTGGTCCAACCCCTTGGTAAATTAATGGAAAATCACATTCTAAATGAAAGGCATCTTAAAGATGAGTGACAGCTATTTATTTATAATGTTATTATAGTCTTTTTAAAATAGTTCTCTATCTATGTATTTTTATTTTTATTTTACTTTTATGTATGCACCACACCAAGTCAAATTCCTCGTACGTACCTACCTGGTAATAAACCCGTTTCTGATTCTAATCTGCTTTGCATGTTCTTGACATGTGTGAATGTAAACTCAGTTATCTTTGATTTCCCTAAACATATTTCTGGCAAACTTGTTGAGCCCGCTTGCTTCATGTTTCTTTTAAGAAATGATCTGAATAAAAGTAACTATTGATGATTTAAATCTGGTGAATACATATAGCAGTATAATATTTCTTTAGGAATGTAATAAATGTATTACAGACTAGAGTAAGGGATCTATTTATATCCTTGTATTGTTGCTAAGTTACATGTAAGTGTGCTGTACATTGCATGGAATGTGTAAATAGTTACTAAAGAATGAGTGAAGAACAAAGAAGGAACTAAGAGCTTATTGACACAAGTTCCTGAATAACTGCATCCAGGGGAGTTGAGTGCAAATTCGGTGGTTTATGAGTAGCCTACTGTGTGAGAAGGACTTTTTATTTTAGCTACTGATCACTTTGATATTTTTTGTGTATCAGTTTGTGCACCACCAAACCTCTGAGGAGCCGCTCAATTCTAGAAGTTCCAAAGAATCTGCAGATATGGATCTAGATGGCAGATAATTCAGTTCTGGTACAGAAGTGTTTATGACTTTCACATATTTCCACCTAAACTGATGGATGATTTGATGCCGGGGGAAATTTGATACAACTTTCCTCCTTATTCCCTCTGAAGGACTCTGGAACACGTGTTTCTTTAATAGGTTGTGCAGTTTGATTAAAAGCTCACATCTTATTAAAATATCTGTTTCTATTGAGTATTGAAAGAATACCAGTTTTATAATCCAAAGTGTCAGGTTCACCTAGATGACATGTAACAGCAGCAATAACATATATCCATTTTAAACAACGCAAACATTAAACTGATAAACAAACTACTGATTTGACAAATAATAAAGCAGGGTTATTAATTACTCACGAGAGATATCACTCGTCAAATTTCTTCAGTGCTTAAAGGTGGGGTAGGTCATTTTGGAGAAACCAGCTCGAGTGCGCTAGAATTTGAAAATACACAGCCGGAAAAAATCTGCCATTTCCTTACAGAGCCCCTCCTCCAACACACACGAACGCGCACATGACCAATGAGGGCACGAGATAAGTTTGTGCACAGATGGAAGGCTGACAGGCAGGTAGGCCATCCAGTTATTTTAGCCGGGCCGACTCAGATGATTGGTTGTGCTTTTTGCAGTACTACGGCTTCCACAGATGACATTTTTTTATGGATTTTTTGTCAAAGCACTATTCATTGCTATCGGGATGTTAAGAGCATTCCATGGAATATAACAAAAAGTGTATCTCGAGCCGGTNGATATACACCTGAACATCAGCAGGAGAGGACTCTTTAAAGTAGAGACACTACATACTGATATACACCTGAACATCAGCAGGAGAGGACTCTTTAAAGTAGAGACACTACATACTGATATACACCTGAACATCAGCAGGAGAGGACTCTTTAAAGTAGAGACACTACATACTGTTAAAGTAGAGACACTACATACTGATATACACCTGAACATCAGCAGGAGAGGACTCTTTAAAGAAGAGACACTACATACTGATATTTTATCTACACTGTCCCTTTGCCACTGTGATGCATTTTAAATGTCCTCGCTTTATGACAAATAAAATATTTCTGAGTCTAAAAGAATCGGTCTGGAAATATTCAAATTAAAGCAAAAATATTTTTCTACTTTTCTCCACCGGTGCAGGTGTTAAATGTCTCCCTGCGGGGTTCGTTTGAATGGCATTTCACATCAGTGTCGACAGAGAGCTTCATGAGCTGTTTGAGATTTCATTAAGAGTTCAAAAGCTTTCGTCTCTACATTCTCCTCATTTTCTGCTCTGCCCCGGGACCCCCCACCATGTTGGGACACCCCCCAGGGATAGTGTCTTGCAAATATACCTTCCTTCTGCATGTTTGTTGTGGTTTTATGTTTTATTAATTAATCCAATTAAGTTTGAAGTGCAAAATCAAACACACGACTCATATTCACATCCTTTAGTAGGGAGTTGATGTTATCTTTTTACTGATAGGTTCAGAGTATTTAATGCTGAAACACGAATTCTAACTTTCTGTGCAGGTGTCAAAGGGTATCAAATGTGTAAAACCAACTACATACTCATCCCACTGCTATTAATATAGATTAAGGTTGCTCAATGCAAAAGCAGCTTTTAACTTTGTGTGCACGGTGTCAAAGGGTATACAATGTGTTTTACGAATGCATTTGTAATCAGCGGCCTGTGTTTGGCAATAACACGTTTTCTTCTACACCATCAATCCGTGTAAATGAGGAAATGAACGATCAATGGATCTTCCTCCAGCGGACCGGAAGACATTTCTATGAACTCGGAGAGAATGGGACGCGTCCAATTAGTGCAGCAGAGAGCTTTCATTCTCTTCACACAACAAACTGCATCTCCACCTGATGAGTTTGCAGGAACTAAATGATTCTAAAACATGTAAGTAAGTTGGGGTAGCATGCAGGAAGGAAATACTTACAGTTATTGAGATCACTTGGAGAGCATGTAGGAGAGGATAGGGGTAGTTAGAGACAGATATTAAGCATTATTAGAAAGGCAAATGGGATTATTCTCAATGGTACATATGGAAGAGTTCACACACCTTTCTTTGTGTGTTAAGCCATTATCCAATAATTACAGTTCAGTTTTGCAGAAGTAACCATTGCATCAACTTTCTTAAGCATTGTTGAATCATAACTTACAATATTTACCTAATGTTACTGTCTGAAACCAGGAGCAGACAACACTTTTTACAATAGCACAATGTCTAAAATCTGATGATACTATTGTTCTCCAATGAATAACTGTCAGAAGTGGGATACGTATTGCCAAGCCCCTTCATTTCTAACTGAAAACCTTTTAAAAGTTGTGCATGCAATGGCAACCTATCACAAAAGACTGACACAATCTGGATTTATTTTCTTGAGAAAGCACCATTCTTTCAAGTTTGCAAAGATTCTGTAGTAACAGTTCAAATTCATTCACACTTTAGCATTTACAAGGACAGATACAGGAAAACATTCCCACTGCAATAACTCTCTATAACAAATCTCCTCTGGCTGGAGGAGAACTCTCTGCTACTGGACTGCTAGCAGTCTGTGCTGCGGAACGGTATCTCGAGATTTCTGGATGTATAACACATGTAGACATTTTGACAATAAAGCTGACTTTGACTTGATATACCTTTTTTACTTGACAATGCCATGTCTTTTTTTGCTGCTGCAAGCAAACATTTCCCAACTCTAGCCTTCTTATCTATTATTATCTTAGTGTTGTGGGTTAAGGACTTAACAGTATATCATTTTAATTGTATCTTTAATGTATTAATCTGTCCTGTTTTTCAATCTTAACCTGTTGCTGTTTGAACCACTGAATTTACCCACAGATAAATTCCATTTTATTCAGAGCATTTGACCCCTGACCCCCTGTCCCCGGGACACTCACTCGGGTACCGGTAGTAGAAGTCTGGTGAATTCAGACAAATACTTAATGTTACTGAAATGCAGCCCCTGAAACCAGGATTCACTTTTTACAATAACACAATATCTCAAATCTGATGATACACATTGTTTCTCCAATGAATAACTGTCTGTTTGTGAATTCTCCGGCCGAAGCTCCAAATAAACCATCAGTGTTTGCCATCAAAGCTCCAGCTCTCCCCGTGTCTCCTTTTGAGTCGGTGACTCCTCCTGCATTGCTACTAGGGAACAATGAAGTTGGCTCTTCATAGGGAGCTTAAATATAGTTGGGGAAAGTATATTTTAGCATAATCTTGACTAAAACAAACAGATGCCATTCAAGTGCACTTGAATATCCATCCCAAAGCACACTGCTTACTGCATGGCTATTGAGACCACACAAAGGTTCGCAACAGGCTCACAAATGTGAGAGTGGAAAAACTGGTTGGCATTCGGGCAAACCTAAGGCTCTCTGAGCCGACACAGAGCCTCCTCAACAAGGCTGGACAGGACACTGAAGAGCAAGAGGTATATATATAATATTTAACTCGACATTCCTGTTTCGTTCTTCAACAAACAATAATTGTTCATTAAATAATTAAAACTTGTTCTGTTCTACTTAATCGTCATGTTTTTTGTTTAATTTGCATCGAATATTCCAAATCTTACCGTACCGAAACTTCCACAGAAGTTTCCCCCACACGTATTGCCAAGCCCCTTCATTTCAACTAAAAACCTTTTAAAAGTATTTTTTCCAAGACATTTTTTTTGCAATGTAGTCAAAGCTCTGTATTTCACTAAAAACATGTTAAAGCACCCATTCTTTCCAGTTTGCAAACTGTAATGATACACAAACTGCTGTTACTTAAATTCAGACACACTTTAGCATTCAGAGCATTTGGAGAGGATGATGTTGTTTGAGACATATATTAAGCATTATTAGAAAGTAAAATAGGATTATTCTTGGAGGAGTTCACACATACCTTTCTTTGGTGCAACCTTTGTATGTCATGTCATATATCCAATAACTAAAGCTTCCGTTTTGCAGAAGTAGTCATTGCATCACCTTTCTTTAGCATTGTTGAATCATAAGTTGTCACACATGATGTTATTTTTGTTTTAAATCATGGCTTTTGCACTAAAGCTCTGCATCAGTTACAGAAACGGTGAATACTGACAAAAAAAAGGTTATTCTTTACTTTTAATTAAAGAAAAGTCTGACTTTCTGTGTTGTATTTTCCTGGCTTTATTATCCCTGTCCTAAAGAACAAAGGTACATTTAAAAAGCATCATTGGACACCTTTAGCATTCAGAGCATTTGACCCCTGACCCTCCTGTCCCCGGGACACTCACTTGGGTACCGGTAGTAGAAGTCGTTCTCGGACTCAGAAGTGTGGTTCCCGTTGTGCCATGCCGCGGCGTCCGTGCCGTGGTCGTACTGCACCAAGGTGGCGAAGAGGATGATGAGGATGATCTGCAGGATGAAGCAGGTGATCGGCAGCTTCAGCCTCATGTTGGTGGCTGCGTCCGTCATGTTGTCTTTCCCCGAGCAAAAGAGAGGCTGACTGAGGACGGGGGGGATTAAAGATCCAGCACAGAAAGTAGTTGCACACACTCTGTCTCTCTCTCTCTCTCACACACACGCTCCCCGGGGTGCAGAGACAGAAGGCTGCTGTGTGTGTGTGTGTGGGTGTGTGGAGGAGAAACTCTCAGACAGACACGGAGCTGCTGCTAAATATGTGTTGTTACAGGACCTGCCTCATGAATAATGCAGTGTCACTTGTACCACGCCCCCTTTCTACTGTACTTTTTAAAGGTGGAATGAAGTCAGGGGTGTGGGTAATGAAGGCTTCCTTCAATTATTAGTCTCTATGGTATTGTGCAATACATTTAAAGAATATTGACAACACCAATGTTCCCTTAACCTACTGTTGTGATATATTATGTCCAGCAACTACAATGTTTTATAGTCAACATTTATTAATAATAACCGAGAGTCAAAATGGTTATGAAGCCTGAGTTATGTGATTTATTTTGTCAAACACTTGTATTTGTTTTCACTTCATGATCTTTTACCTGGAGGTGCTTTAAAGCTATTTAGTGCACCTCTTTTCAGCAACAGCTCTAAACTGGTAGCTCCTACGAAAATATACACCTGAACATCAGCAGGAGAGGACTCTTTAAAGTAGAGACACTACATACTGATATACACCTGAACATCAGAGGAGAGGACTNTATCTTAATGTGTGCATATGTGTAAATGTGTCTTTTGATTGTGTGTAGGAACGAAAATAAAATTATACAGATATGTATACAAATTTGCAAAATATGTATATCCTACACACAATCAAAAGACACATTTACACATATGCACACATTAAGATAAAAGAACACAAAAATCAATATATAAAAAAATAACAGTTCAAGCTGGGTTTTATTGTTCGCTGTCGACAAGAATACTTTTATTTGTATCTAAAATTATGCTTGTGATTCCATCTGTCTTGCTAAGGAATGTAAAATGTCCAACTGATTTCAACACAAATCAGGGTTCAGGTTGTCAGGTTTGGTCACCTTGAAACTCATTGAAATCCAATGCTTTTCCTCCACAATATATTGGATTTAGAAGGAAATTGCTCTGAAATTCAGTGTTTTGTTTAAACAAAAAATAAGTTTTTACCAAAGAGAAACTGTACTTAATTTGACTTTAACACAAATGACTCTTGACTTTTGTTTGCTTTTCATTTGGGTTTTGTCGTCCTCCTTACCTGAAAAGTTATAATGCTTCCTAGATTCAATCAGCAAGCAGCCGACCTTGTTGTGTTGTACTTTGTCAATTCTTTTAGTCATTATTTCATAACATTGGGTTGGCATGGTCAGTCTAAAAGCAGCCTTTAAGCAATGGACCTTGTCTTTGTTCTTGTCAATAGTAGTACAAAAACTAACTCAAGAAAACTGGTGTTCTTGATCTTATCCCCTTTAACTGGAATTACATAAATTGGGTCTTGATCAAAGCTTTGAACAGACACACAAGTTGAAGTATTGAACTTCTGTCTCTTAGAAGGATCTTGACTTGTATCTTCTCTTACCTTTTGGTTAACCTCCAGGTCTAACATATCACTGTAAAAACATGTCGTTAGCAGTGACGACTCATAGGTGGAATTGCCCAATGCAGCTTTAACATCACATAATCCAATCAACCAACTGAATGCTGTCCTTACTGCTTTTATTTCTCAGGTACCATCTTCCTGTGGATGTACTGGCCCAGCTTCAACTCTGCAGTCACGGCTCACGGAGACGACCAGCATCGCACAGCCATGAACACTTACTACTCCCTGGCCGCCTGCACCATGGCCACATACGGCATGTCCGCCCTCACTGCACACGACGGAAAGCTTGATATGGTGAGGACACATTATCATCACATAAATTAAATGGTGGTGCCAAAAATAAGTTCAAATCGCCAGAGGTGGGAAATAGTGGAGTACAAATACTTTGTTACGGTACCTACAGTGGGGGAAAAAGTATTTAGTCAGCCACCAATTGTGCAAGTTCTCCCACTTAAAAAGATGAGAGAGGCCTGTAATTTTCATCCGTAGGCTATAGACAAGTTTACGCGACAAACCACGGGTAGCGCCATAACCCTACACAAATGCACTTCATTTCCGCC